GAGTCGATGGTTCCTTATGAGTCGATGGTTCCTTATGAGTCGATGGTTCAATTGAGCTACAAAATAAATCAAAAGAAAACCTAAGAGTCGATAGTTCCTTATGCCAATCATTACAAAATTTCCTAGTAACATATTAGGGCTACAAGTAGACAGCAGTCAAAAAAGGAAGTACTAGTGTAAACCTTTCTACTCCCACTTCCTGCAAAAAAAGTTAGGCTTTCCCACCATAACAAGAGTTCCAATAGCCTGCAAAAAAGAGATAATAGAAAAAAGCAAACTAAGAGCCAAAAAATATGCATGGAAATAACCAAGATAATCCTGTAAAATAGAAATCTAAAAAACATAATGATGATATAAAATGAGTGAAAGAAACCTGACCAAGCTTGTATAGATAAGCCAACATTTGGCCACCAAAGAGCTCACATTGATCAAAATTAGTACACAACTGCTCCAAACAAGACCAATAAAGAATCAAATAATGTTGTTGGCCATACTTAGAAAAGAAGCAGGAGACCACATGAACCCCCAACTGAACTGAAGACAAGAATAACACCAAAGCCACAACAGAAAAAATCCCAACTAAGGAATAACTAGATAGACCAAAGAGGACCAGCAAGCCGCCCCCAACCAAAGCAGGACAGAAAAATAATAACCACACAGCCAAAATCCTGCTGCATCTCAAGCCAATACCTAAACACAACCTTACAGGAAAAAAAATACAAACGAAAAGATCTGATAGCATAAAATAGAACAGTCACTAACCCCAGAAAAATACATAAACCTCAATACCCCTATCACACAATTAACCAATAGGATATGCAAAAATAAACACAACAAATAACCAAAACTAAATAGAGGTACATGACACAAGACCCCAGAACTCCAACCAATGCCAGACCAACCAATGAAAACAACCAGCGACAAAGAAAAATCCTGAAGCAGACCCGAAAACCCCACCAAAAGGTCCCTCTCATGATAGGAAAAGAGCATGCAGAGCATCAGGAAACCACACACCACAATTCCATCCAAAAAATGTGTTAATTATGGTGAGATTAAGCCTATATGGTTACTCCACCATAATATGCACTTCATACCGAATGTACTATTAATGACTTAAGTCATAAAAGTGGATGAATGAATCCATGTTTCATCACCAAGCAAGCCCGGATTAATCTATGATGGTTTCCTATGTGCCTCTTGACTTAATTAGTGCTATGTCTTGAAATGTAGACTTAATGTGGTTATTCTAATAAGTTATCCTAGGGTTATGATTCATTCGACCTCATGAGGTAAGTCTAGGAAAGCAATCAAACCAAGGTTGGTTGATGTGGGAGGCTAAGTAAATAATATAAGATATGCTCTTATTTAGAATTTCTACAATTTTTCACATTAGACACCTTCAAATTGTGTGTGTGTGAGTGTGTGTGTGTGTGTGTGTGTGTGTGTGAGAGAGAGAGAGAGAGAGAGAGAGAGAGAGAGAGAACAAAATTAAGTCATTTACGCCTGATTGCCAATTCTAAAACTAAAAGAAGAGCCAGGTGAGCATTTTCTCACTATTTTACATAAATCCTTTTCCCTTAATCAATTTAATCACCATTTTAATTTAATTTACTGGAAAAACAATACTGCCAAAAATTTTAAAAATCAGATTTAAACTTTAATATCTACACTTATGAAAACATTAAAGTCTAAAGGCCAAAGCTTTTCACTATTTAAAACCATGGATTTCATCATGAATTTGGTTAAAATATGAGAACTTCTCACCAAATCTTTACCAAATAAATTTGTAGATCTTCTAAACAATTTAGTAGATTTATTTAAAGTGAGTGCTTTTGGGGAAGATCTGTCTGAAATTTTTCAGACAAATTTAATAATAAAACTAGCAAAGTAAAAATAGGTGAACCTATTTGATTAAATGGCAAGTAATTAGCAGTGTTTATCAACCAATCAACAGCCTAATTAATGTCATCTAAAGTGGATCAATTAACCTCTTAATTAATTAATTAATTCTAAGGCTAATTACACTAGAATTAATCATTTCAAATGAGAAAAGAATTGTTCATTGTTTAATTTTGCTTGAATTTTTTCTTTGATTGTTAGAATATTTGGTTTAGCTCCCAAAGTGGCAGGCAAATGATCATATGTAGTGAAAATGATTTCATTGTGGTGGGTGGAGATGCCTTTTGTTCTTAGTCCACATGTTAGAATTCATAAATATCTCTACATATGAAAGGTTTTCTACTCATTAAAAAAAAGTTATCATTTATCTCTTATCTATGATATCATTTATCTCTTATATATATGTGATGGTATATAACATAATTTCAAGTACTAGAAGAAAATTTATGTTCACATAGATGCATCAATTTTTTTCCTATTATTGGATTTGATACAACAAATTTTTAAATTTTTACTTATAAATTTGTTATTTAGAGGCCTTGCATGTCTTATAGCATGCGACTATGCATTTTTATTAATAGTTTTTTCATATATATCCTGGAATAATAATCAAATACTTCTAAGACAATTTTGATCAATTTAATCTAAAAAAATGTGCTTAAATATTAATTTTTAATTATAGTACTCATATTTTCTCAATCTATTATAATTAAAATTCTTTAACTATATTTTTTGATCTTTTAATTATACTTTTTTATCATTTTGATAAACATATAATTATTATTAACATGAATAAAACCAAAAGTTATATTAATAATACCTACTAAAACAATTAAACAACACTTATAATTGTTCCCTACCATGAGATCTATAGCTTTAAACAAATTAATCAATAAAAAATACACTTATAAAAATGTTTTTTGAATAAAAAATATGACATAAATTTAAAAAACCAAGTGAAATACATAGTAATTAATGATAATTATTTACCCAAAAAAAATAATGATAATTGTGGAGTCTCATGACTCTCATCTGAAACCCAATTTTAGTAAATTTCAGGTGGCTATATTTGGGAAGGAAAGATTCTGCATGTTAAGAACCTCATTATTTTCCAAAAAAAAAAAAAAAAAGAAACCTCATTATTGCCACGAGAGCAAGAATAAGACTAGGAAGATTGCATTTATAGGGTTTTTGGAAGCATTCGTAGCTTTTCCCATCAAATCTCAAGAGCGGTGATGTGAAAAGATGTGGAATATTGTGTCTGAGTCTCCTCTAATAGTTTCTTTTCATTTTATGTAATGAGAATAATTTATTTTTATTATATGTAGTTAAGATTTTTTTATTATTTTTTAGAATTTTTTTTTTGGAGAATTTAGGCATTGAGCTTGACAGGGATTCGTTTGGGACAATTTTTTTTATTTCAACAATAGCTTGTTAGCATAAAAATTTCTCAAACAAACAAAAGAAGCAGTGATCAAAAACTGTCTCGAACGAAAGGTAAGAGTTAGAGGGAGATGAGCTCAAATGTTGGACCTGATAGTTCTAGAGAAGACAATTAACCAACCAGTCAAAATAGTTCAGTCTATTCTTATTCTTATTATTATTTAAGTTTATGGCAATCATTAGTTGTAGAAAGGCATGTGGTGTTTGGGGGCCTATGAGTTGAAATTAATCATTGAATATTGAATGAAAGTTTATGAATTATTCATAGTTAAATGATTGCACCTAGTTCTTTGTTTGGCATTTTTTTTCCAATTGCAATTGAAATAAAAGTATTGTGTATGTTTTCTCTAGTTCTCCTATCATTTTTTTATTAAGAATGATGACATCTTCATTTTAATTCTATAACAACAACATCAACATCAAGCCTTAGTCCTATTACATGGGGTTAGGTACTTGAATCCTTTTTTTCTCCATTATTTCATGTTAAGAGTCAAATTCTCATTTAAATATAATAAAAAAATTCTTTTCTTATACTTTCTAATCAAATCTTTTTAGGTTTACCTCTATCTTTTCTTAGCATAGGTCAAATCTAATATGTCAAATCTATTATGCATTATAGGCCTCACCACCATTTTATAGAAGTTTTCCTTAAGTTTGAGGGATACGCGACTTTTTTGTCATACAAAAGGCTCGATGTGTTCCTCCACTTTAACCGTCCAACTTGAATTCTACTAATAACATCCCCATCTATTTCACCATCATTTCGAAGAATATACCCAAGATATCTAAAATGTGCACTCGATCCTTTTAATGACTTGATCACCCAAAGCCACAATCCTCTAACTAGATCTATTACTACAAAAAATTACACTCCATGTATTCAGTTTTTGATCTACTCAAATGAAAACTTTTATACTACTCGCTCTAAAGTTCACTTCCATAACTCAAGTTTTCCTTCAACTCCCTCTTTAGTCTTATCAACAAGAAGAATATCATTAGGAAAAAGCATACACCTAAGTGCATCCTCCTCTTGTAAAGGTGTAATATGAACATTCATGACTAAAAGTAAAAAAGGTATGGGCTTAAAGATGATCCTTGATGTAATCCAACTAAAATAGGAAAATACTTGATCAAACTAGCGTATGTTTGAACAGAATTAAGTAATAACTCATGCATGCATATCATTAATAACTTGACTATAAGCATTATTAACTCCTTCCATTTCTAGAACTCTCCAGAGCACTTCTCTTAGAACTTTATCAAATGCTTTCTCTAAATCAATAAACATCATATATATATCCTCCTTATTCTCTATATACTTCTCCATCAAACCTTTCAATAAATATATAACTTCTATAGTAGACCTACCTGGCATGAATCCAAATTGATTTTGAGAAGCAATAATATCACATTGCAACCTATGTTCAATAACTCTTTCCCATAGTTTTAATGTATGACATATTAACTTAGTTCATCTATAATTTACACACTATAGTGCATCACCTTTATCCTTTAAAATAGGAATCAACAAACTCCACTAATCTGACATCTTTTTAGTTTTCAAAATAATACTGTAAATTTTTATAAGCCATGAATTTTTTTCATTTCCTAGACATTTCCATACCTCTATTGGAATATCATCAGAACTAAAATATTTTTCATACTTCATTTTCTTTAATAAAGTCTATCACAATCTTTATTGAAAAGCTTGTCGAAATATCTCATCCATCTATGTTTAACATCATCTTCCAGTAAAAAACATTTTTTTTATCTTCATCCTTAATGTGCTTCACTTGAATTACATCATTACTTCTTATATATCTTTACTCAGCAAACTTATATATACATCTTTCACCCCCCTTAGTACCTAATATATTATACAATTCATTAAAAGTAAAATTCTTTACATCACATATTTCTTTCTTATACTTCTTATAGGATGCTTTATATCTTTCTTAATTTTCAAAACTTTTATATGTAAACCAATTTTTGTAGCAAGACATTTTTTAAAAATCTTTTCTTACACCAATTATTTTTATTATTATGAGCTTTTTTTATACTCCAAGCACATCATTTGTAATATTCTTAATATCACAAATATTTTTTTCTTATATAATATTATTCTCCTCATACATGGTCAAAAACTTAATATCTTGAATCTTACTCCTAAAAATATTTTTGTCAGTGATCTTTAAATGCTCCCATCTAATTCTAAGATATAATTTTATTTTATTTTTCATATTCCACCCCTTCATCTTGAATTATAAAACTAATTAATGATGTTAAATACATAAATTTTCACTCAAAATAACTTTATAACCTTTGCAATTTAAACAACCTATTTTTCTTATATGCGATTGAACTGATCATGCCACCTTAGCAATCCATGACAATTTTGATCATATCAATAATGAGTAGCCAACATAAATAGTAATGTAGGGTGGGGATTTGCTTTAAACAACTAGGGAAGGGAAAGACCATAGATGTTCCTAGCCGAATTCTTGGATTTGGTTTATAGCATAAGGTCAAGTTCATTTTAGTTCAACCCTTAAGCTAGGCCAAATGGGTTAGATTTTCCTGGACATCTAGCCTAAGGTCTTCATAAGGGTTTTGCCAAATTTGGGAAAGTACAGAGTTCTCTTAATTAAGTTTAGGTTAGATGAACCATAGTTAGGTTATTTAGATTCCATGGTCAAATTAACTTTGACCATGGCCAAATGACTTGAGCTTGAAACAATTAATTAAGTCCCAAATAAACCTAAAGATGACTATGGTTATTTAAAATAATGCCAAAGTTCAAAAGGATTTGGATTTCTTCAAAATGGGTTTGGGATAGGGAAACCCGAGATGGGTCACTTGAGCTCCTTAATAAAATTAGGTTTGATCATTATTAGGAAGGATTGAGGTTTAATATGAGCTCAAATGTTCATAAAATGGTTTAGGACTATTTGAACTCAGACCAAGTCCATGGGGTTTAGACTAGTTAATTAGACTTGAATTTAGGTAAAATTAAGGATAGAGGTTTTGGTCAAACATACTTTAATCATAAGCCAAAGAGGTTAAATAATGCTCGATTGTTGACCAATCGGATAGAGTCAAGTGTAAATTTTGTAATATTTTCTTATCTTAAATATTAACAAAAATGTTATTTTCAGTCGTTGTTGTGCAGGAATATCTCAGAAAAAGGGGAAAAATCAAGTATTAAATTATCATCGCAGCACTTCAACTACCAGTGTTGTAGCGTCCACAACACCTCGATGCCATATCAGTATATTACAACATCAGGGCTATAAAAAATGTCAATTAATTTAGCACCTCAATGGAGCCAAGTTTAGTGCCACAACACTTCATAATGCTGCATCACCAAAAATCAGTACATTAGTGCCGGAGTTTCGGGAATTTGAGCGCCAAACTGTATAACGTCGTAGAGTAGAATTACATATTCAAGAATCACTACACTCAACTTTTTCAGTGTCATGAAAGATTAGTTGACAAAATGAGAAGTCGCACTTACTCAGCCAAAAAATGTGCCAGTTTAACCAATAAACGTATCATGTCAGTCCAACATTGCAGTAGAGCACAATTTGTAGTAAAGAAATTATGGAGTGATGTGCATTATATGGAGTGTTGTTCACTATTTTGTACTAAAGGTTTTGTCCTCTTTTGTGTTTCTCGCTTTAATTAATATGGCCTTATGCCCCTTTTATATATACTATATAGGATAGGTTTATATCCCTAAAAAAAATTACCTAACTCAAGACTTTGAATACTCATATGAATGATGCAATGGTCTACAAGCAATGTACATGCATTTTATGAAACAAAAGAAAAAAGAAAAGAAAGAATGCCCTATGAAGTGAAATTTAGAAATAGGGCCATTTTATACTAGATATGCAAGAAAACATTACAATTTATTTTATCACAAAATTGTCATTACATAGATGTTGGATGGATAACAAAAATATGTTGCAAGATAGTTAAGCAACTATTAAAATTTATTAATAGAGCTTTTTTAATGGCACATACATGTGCTTAGTGATTGTTATATGCATGAATCTAAATAATATGTACTCAATAATATTTCTCGAAAATTTTCCTTTTAAATAAATTGGTTATCGCTCCCATACTAGTATGTGCTTGAAAAATATAACTATAATAAATATCAATATCATAAGTAGTAGTTATGTCCACATTGGATTTGAGATAGAACTTTGGGCTTCATAAGAATTTTGTAGCTAGTGTTTAGAGGAAATGAACCAAGTAAACAAGCAAAATAAATGCCTTTTCTCTAATGTAGACAAATACTGATTGAGAGAATCTCCAACCACTTGACACTTTCATTAAAAATAAGAACATATAAAACTTGTACTCTCTCCTTGGCCTAGGCTTAGGGAAAGCTACATCAACACTCTAAAAAGCAAAAGTGAAAACAAACAAACAAATCAAATCAAATATTTCAAGCTCTGTCATTCTCTCTACCCACTCTTGCCTACATGACAAGATAGCTTTTGTTCAAGTCCCAAATACAAGATCTCTCTCTATGTAGCTAAGTTAGTCAACCATAGCAAAATGAAAATTTACAAGATATATATACAAGATACCAACTAAAAGACTAGCCACTAATAATTTGGATAAGACTGATGATGGTGTTGATAATAATTAAGTGATTGCTCACTTCCAATTAAGCTCATCGATCTCCTTCCGGGCATTAATATGCTGGTAAGACCAACTTTTCAAGTGAAGCTATTGGATTGAGTGAAACTATATAAGCTTCATGTATCCAATTAAGATCGATCTTATTATATGATATTGATGTATTGATTGATCAAGATGCACAAAATTTTTGTTTGGCTTCTGAGTTCCAGCATTGTGCTATATCTTGGGCTACCTTAGTGGCATCAATGGATGCCCCGAGCAAGCCACGCTTGGTGAACCCTACTGCATAGAGACCTCTCTCTCCCTTCCAACCATTAGGAAATGGCCTCTTCGGCAAACCATCAGCCTCAGAGAAAAACTCGCTATCCTGTCATGAAAAATCATCCAATTTCACAAATTACTTAGTAAATTAATAAGAACCTTAGAAATATAACTTTAATTGTACATTTTTTTGGAATGATGAGTGCCAAGAAATAAATTCAATATAAGCAGAACCCAAACTTAAAACTTTGAGAACCACTTTAAAATTTTTTACCAATTAAATTAGTTAGCACCATAACTTTGATGCACCATTACCGTTAATGACATCTATATGACTATGTCCCATCCTATGAATTTGAAAAATACTCTTCATTTTTAATGAAATAAATTTTGAGTTTATTTATTTCTTGAAAAAGCTAAATGACATATAAATTCTAAATGATGATTAAAGAAATACATGTGCTTTCATGCTTAACATATTTTTGTCTTCTTTTAGGATTCATGAGATACTTTTTTAAATATCTTTCCTTTTATTTATCTTTATAAAAAATAACATTGATACTTCCTATTTCTATATACATTTAAGGATAAAGGGATCTTAAAAGATATATGCATTATATCATAGTAAAATATGATAATCTAAGAGATAAGCTATGCTTATCAATGAAACTTAGCTTATTTTTGAAGATAATGCAACATGAAAAGGAATTTCTTAGTGTACCTTTAACCAAGAGGGCACATTACTTCTGTACCCTGTGGCTAAGATCACAGCATCAAAGTCTTCTGATCTCCCATCCACAAACTCAGCCCCTTTGGAAGTGAATCGCTTAACTCCTGGATAAACCTGCAACCCAAAACAATCAAGAACCACAATATTAATATGATTTGTAACCAAAAACATATATAGGAATACAAAATCTCACTCATATCTCATGCATGAAATAGAGTCAAAATACAGTAAATTGGAAGACAAACCTTAATGTCTCCAGACTTGATCTTGTCAAGGGTGCCAACATCTAGAACAGGAGTCTTGCCAGAGATGGCCTTGAGTTCGAGCGGACCAAGCTTGGGTCGACGGAGCCCGAACCGTGTCGTGTCACCAAACATGAGCCAGGTGACGAATAACAGCAAACGATCCACCATTTGTACAGGTAGCCACTTGAGCAGCCACATGCACAGCCCAAAAGTAGACCTTCCAAGCATCTCTCTAGGCAGTATGTGCACCTGTTGTTAATAAATTAATCAAATTTTTTAGAAAGAATGTACTGCATTTGTTGATCTTGCTTCGGAAAATAAATAAATAAAGCAGTAAATTGATATGGTGGAGTACAGTCAATCTGTTACATGCCACTGAAAATGATAATTTCACAGGATGACTTGACCAAACTTCTTATACAGATCAATCAAAGTTCTTAGTACAACTTTGATCAACCAAGAGTAAGAATCTTTAAAGAAGAGAGTGAAAAAAAATATCTGAAAGACGTCGAGAGATAGAGAGAGAGAGAGAGAGAGAGAGTAAAAGAGAGAGATGGGAGCCTTCTCTGGCGTGCAGATCATGAATCCGAGGAAAAAAGTAAATGAAGGGTAGTTTTCATGGAGAATCTAGCTAGCTTTCTTGGCATGCCAAAACTCTCTCTTTTTTAAGCTTAAGTACAAGCCAAAAGTGCACGTGTATCCTTCTTTCAGCTTTGTTCTCTTAAGAAACTCAATGCTATCAAATCAAATACCTAAAATATTATGAATACTGTAGTTCAGTTAATAAAAAAATTTAAAAGAAAATTTTCATTGGATCTCATCTGTATTAAATTCTAATTAAATTAGAACACCGACATTAAAATCTTCGAAGCGACTGAAGCTTAGCACTGCAGATTATATTGGCAATATAATGAGGTATTTCTCACAATCAGCTTAAACCATGCTGCAATAAGTATTTGAAGTAAACCCTCATAAGTTCTGGGAAATGCACTTACAATATTCAATATTCATTAAGATACCATTAATTTGAATATTTCAATATTGGTTCAATATTCAGAAAGCTTCAATTTATTTACTCAGTTTTTTACCACATTCTATAGAATATCAGAGGATGACAATTTGTATGTTAATGACTTGAGGCATTCTAGAATTTTAAAAACTAATTCAAAAAAAAAAAAAACATTCAAACAGAAAAATCTGAACAAATCTTCATGGGGGAAAAGTCATCAGTCTATTAGGAAACTATTTATAGAGAGACCAAACTGGAACTGTTTCCTGATGATCATGAGACTGGAGAGAATATTTTGTCCGGCGTCCGAACGCATCGAGAGGTCAATCTGGAGGTGTCAAATCATCCAATATATTATGCATTGGGTAACGTAACACATCCGGATTGGCCTCAGGAAGCGCCCAGACGTTGCACCTAATAATTTTTCATGAGAGTGACCCTTTCCTTAAATACATTTCAATCAATGGGTCATACATGTTAACACATTTTTATATTGCCATATATACAATGGTAAAAATGTTATATAGTATTTATTCATTTTTAATAAAGTACTCTAGAATATATAGTATATAAATGAATGAATAAGCTATATATTAAAATTATAATGACTTTAATTATGAGTGTCATCATAAATGCAAGAAATGTTAATGAACATACCGCATCCCGCACGATGATCGTCGGCATGGCGTCATAGTTGCAGAGATCATGGCATACCTCCATGCCTGAATTGCCGCACCCAACCACCACCACTTTCTTCCCTCTAAATACCTCTCCGCTTCGATATCCACTAGTATGCACAACTATGCCTTCAAAATCCGACAACCCTCCGATTGTCGGTATCACCTCCTCCGCATTTTCCCCCGTCGCCACCACCAACCACCTCGACACATACTCCCTCGCCCACCCACTCCCCTCCTTCACTGTCTTCACCCTCCATAATCCCAATCCTTCATCAAACTCTGCCTTCACCACCGCCTCCCCAAACACCGACCGAACTCCGAACGTCGCCGCATAGTCCTCCAAGTAGCCAACAAACTGCTCCTTAGTAGGGTAAGTAGGGAACTCGACCGGGAACGGCATGAGCGGCAGCTGACAGAAGCTCTTAGGAAGATGAAGGCGGAGTCGGTCATAAGACTTAAGCTGCCATAGAGAGGCGATGCAGTGTGAACGCTCAATGACTAGGCTCGGAACACCTTCTGCTTTCAGGCAAGCGGCGACGGCAAGGCCGGAGGGACCGGCTCCGACGATGATTGGCCCATGGACGTGGATGAAGTCATGTGCTAGCTTGGCTTCCATTTCTTTAGAGTAGTACAAGTTCATGAGATAGTGAGGAGAGAAGAGTGAGATTCAGTGTACAACTAGTTATAAGGTTAGGGTTTTGGTGGAGAGGGGAGAGCCTGTAAACATTAACGTACGTAAGATATTTGTTTTGTGGTTGGAATGAGCTTTGTTTGTACGTTCTCTGCGAGAAGAGAGGGAGAATCCCCTTTAATTTAGGGCTTTGGGGGTTTGAGCTTAGGCAGCGAGGGGAGATAGAGAGGAGGGGCGAGGGCCTGTATTTATATTGCTTTCTCCTGCTAAATTTTAGCTAACTTATCAAAAAGTTAAAAGTTAGAAAAAAAAAAAAGAGAAATATAAATATCAAAATTATTATTTATTACAGTTCATATTAAAAATGGCTTTTCTCTATGCGACTGGCACTGAAATTGATGTATTTATCACTGATAGAAATTTTTTTAACAAAAAACTGAGCAAGGATAATAGTAATCATGATTAATTAGGAACTAATGATGATGTTTACTAACTTAATCACTAATTAATGTAAATTAGTCGAGTTTCTTTTGCTATCGCAAAGCGAATCAGATTCTGGTTAGTGAGGACCACTTGCTGTAATTTATTTTAGTGCAGAAGGTATATAGGAATGTTTAGGTAAGTTCATTAGCAAAAGCAAAGGTAAACTTGTAAATTAGATTATGCTTTTTGAACTAAGTTTATGTATTCATTAATTCTCTACTTTAAAAGTAAATATACATTTAAAAAAAGTGAAGGCTTCCTTTGAGACAGTTTTTTTAATGTTTCTTAAAACAAATTTTTAGTTCAAAAATTAAAACTTTTGTATTAAAAAGCTGCTTTAAGAAGTAGTAAAAATCAGATGCAACAACAACAACAACAACATCAAGCCTTTATCCCACTACGTGGGGTCGGCTACATGAATCCTTTTTCTCCATTGTATCCTATTAAAAGTCAAATTCTCGTTTAAATCTAATAAAGAAAGGTCATTCCTAATAATTTCTAACCAAGTCTTTTTAGGTCTACCCCTACCTTTCTTAACATAAGTCAAATTTAATACATCTACTCTCCTAACCGGGTCATCGCAAGGCCGCCGTTTTATGTGACCAAACCATCTAAGACGACTTTCTCTAATCTTATCTTCTATTGGAGCTACTCCAACCTTTTCACGTATATGCTCATTTCGTATCCTACTCTAAGGGTAAAGCCACTTATCCACCTGAACATCCTCATCTCTGCCACACTTAACTTAGTATTATGCTTCTCTTTTAAAGGCCAACATTCGGCACCATAAATCAGATGAGCAAGCAAAAATTATGATTGCACATATAAGAGAGGGTGGGGGTGATCGTCGCTCATTTGGATTATCAGTGAAATGTCTAACTACCTACACAACTTCCCCTTCCCTGGAGCAGCCCTCTAATGGTGATAGATTATGACAATACATTATGTATTGCATAAAATTCATTCTCATAGATCTTAGCTTCTTCTAGCTTTATCAAGCTCCATAAGCAATCCATCCATGAGTTATGTTGGACATTGAATTACTTTCAAAGACAGTAAGTATATATATCCTCATGGCTTCTATCTTTGCTCAACTTTACTATTTCCCATATTTATCGTGAAGGTAATGCTTGTGCGGATTGGCTTGCTAATTTTGGTTCTCAAAGTGATATTCTACTGGAGTATCATGTGCCTGAGCAGCCTGTTCCTCTTAAAGGAATGATCAATCTTGATAAAATTGGTTTACCTTATATTCAACACATCTAGTTCTATGTTGTGGTATTTTTTGTTTTGGTTGGTGAGCCGTGAGCTGGTTTGTGGTGTTTTCAATTGGCTGGTGCAGGTTTTTTTTTGGCCACTTCGTTGCTGGGTTACTGTACTTACTCTGCTGGTCTCACTACAGGAAAAACGCTGAAAACCGGCGATTTTTTTCGGCGGTTAGTGTAGATTTACGTAGCCGTCGGTAATACCAACGGTATATAAACCGCCGGTGAAAACCGCCGGTTTTTGCCATTTTTCCTGTAGTGTCTTTTCATTCCATGTGGGTGTGTATTTGGCAGAAAGGAAAGCAGTTTATTTTATGTTTTCTTACTAGGGGTTGCTATCATTTAAGGAAGCTTCAGGTGTTTTGCTGGAGCAGGTTGATTATTTGGGGGGTTTCGCTCTTCTGTCTGTCTTTGTCCTTGATTTACTCCTTTAGTAGTTATGTGACGTGCTGGAGGTTGCAGGTCTACTGGGTTAAAAACTTATGTAAGTGGATTTTTCTTTTCTTAGATCTTTGTGGGTTGTTTTAGAAGTTTTGGGGAAGAGGCATTACCTGGTTATAAGTTGGTATGGCTGGAACCTGATGGACTTTTTGATGGGTTATATTTTCATATGGTATCTCCTCTATGTTACTGAGTTATTATCCTGTCAGTTTTCCTATCCTTCTAATATTTATGTTTTGAGAGTTCTTTTTAGGGGGTTCTTTTCTTTAATTGTCCGGAACATCAACGACTGCAAGGTACTCATTTTTTTGGTTTTTTATTTGCTTTTCTACTTTCATTATCAATTTTGCAGGAAGACTGTGCTGAACGAGATACATCTGATCTTCCAATTTTGGGTGTTGTATCTTCACAACGCGTGTTCTTATTTATGTTATTTTTGTAATCTTAGGATAAGGAACCACCAGCTCTTAGGTTTTTCTTCTTTTTTCATTGTAGCTCTTGAGAGCATTAGCGAGCTAGAGGATCCTTTTAAGGATTTTTGTAACTGTTTTACCGATATGAACGCGTAGGCCCCTCCGTGGATTTTAACCAAAAAAAAATCCTCATGGCTTCTAATACCCTAAATATAATCTCAATAACTTTGCATAATTATTATGACTCCTACATAACTCCAATCCACTCGATGTTACAAGTGTTAGATTTTTTTTTTTTGGGAGAGATATTTCAAAACCAAAATGCAGTGTATTGTTGCTATTTTTTATTAACCCTTAATTTGATCTATAAAAATCCTCAAAATTATTTCGAACAATCAAATCACCAAAATCCTTATCCATTTTCTTTGTTTGACTAGTGGTGCCAAGAGTTTTGAAATATTGCCCTCTGCTCACCAATAAGAAACTTTGATGGTAGTAGCCAATGCAAGATCTCACTCAATTGACCTAAGTCAGTCCATTGTGGGCTGACCTAGGAATGGTATCATTTGATTCTTTTCCAATTCATGAAAGTGATTGATTTAAACCATATGATGCAAAACTTATTTTGATAGGTATTAATCAAAATGGTTATAATATCCAAATAAAACTCTATAAATATTTCTATACATTTATCATAAATTTAAGCAAATATAACATTCATAGATCATAGAGAATTGTGTAGATCTTACAAATGTCTATAGTACTAGTTAATTGATTGTTTCTAATTTTTTCTCATTCCACCTTCTGTGCCAACTTCTAGGTCACCTAATATGTCTTCTTTTAAGAAAAATAGTAGTTCTTATCACCTTCAGTAGCCTGACATTTCTCATCATTGGACAACCATCACCATGAAGTCTAATATTTTCAGAAGCTTGCTGACTCCAAACATTTATCAATCTAGTGCATGTTGAGTATGAAACCATTATAATTTGGCATTAGAAATCCATGATTCTAATCACCCAATGCCCATTATGTTTCACTGATGAACAACATTCATTATTGTCTTATGTTTAAAGATGCTTAACACCCACCACTACACGATGCATATCATCATCTAAAATCAACTATAAAACTCAACACCTTCAAGCTCCTTATACAACTATCATAGGAGGCACTCTCTTTAGTTCAAGTATTATAATATGTTAATTAAAAATTCTATAACTTTGGTGAAGGGTGGCCCTTTATACTCTTAAAATATAATTTTTTGAATTAATTCAACTAGATTTCCTATAATGCCCCAAATAATTTTAGCAAATACTTCATTAAATTTGGAGATGGTAAAATCAACTTGATTGGCTGAGTTTTGAATTGATTGTTTTTGTTTAATTGAATTCATAATGGATCAGAGATATACCAATTTATTCTTATATTTGGTCAAGTAGTTTAGAGGTTCATCAATATTACATACTCCCACTAAATAGATCATAGCTGACACCATCAAGCAGTTTTGTGAGTACTTAAAATATTTTAGCATTATTAGGATTTGACTAGTAATCCAACCCCTAGAGTAGTGACATAAGATAGTGACTATAATAATTTAGATAAAGTTATGGGTTTAAGACATCTTTAAAAGACCCTTCTTAGGGATTCTATTTCCAAGACAAGGAATTATTCATCATTCATGGTAGTGCATTCTCAATCTCAAACTAGTAGATCTCAATCATGGGGAACACCTGATCTAGCTATTCTATCTAACACTACATAATAATTCCAAGAAGACAATCTCCACATTAATGAAAGCATTTAATGACGTCATCTTACTATATGGCTAAATCATGCATCACTGCATAACATGTCTTTCATAATTATTATGTGATGATTACAATTCTTGGGCTAATTGTTACTGTTGTGTTGGCATATAAATGGTGATATCACAACATCCGATATAACCCAAGCACATCCCATTCATTCACAAAAAATCCAATAATTTTTTTGTAATGATCACAATTACAATTCTAAAGCTATAGTGATAGAAACTAACATTAATGATAGCTTTTTCTTTTTCTTTATAAAAACCCTTAAATGCATCTTCACAAAGGGTTTATTATTTGTTGTTGCAAGACATGAAAAGCAATTACACCAAGAAGCCCTCAAGCAAATTTCTTCTCATCTTGGCCTAGTATTATTTCATTCTTTCCCATTTCTCTACTCCCTTATTATAAAAGCCTCGAGCCTTGTAAAACCAATGTGATAATAATAAAAGCTTTAACTAGAGCATTATCATGGTGGATATAAGTAAAGATGATTAAACCACTTTAAATCTCTATGTTTTCATATTTCATTTACTTTCTCTACTTTACTCTCTCTCTCTCTCTCTCTCTCTCTCTCTCTCTCTCTCTCTCTCTCTCTCCTCTTAGTAACTTTGATTATAGAGAATTCTTTTTGCCTCTAATAAAACATAGTAGAACTCTCTTACTATGTTAAGCAAGCCCACTATTTTCCATCAACACTCTAATCACGTAAATGTTTAACAATAATAAGGGCAAGATAACAAAGTAGGTAGCTAGTAGTTAGCACAAAAGTAGTAATAACTTGTTCTCATAATATATAACAAAAGTAGTTATTAAAGCTATCAGATAACCAAGGATGATATACTCAAGTTGTTTAGAAACTCGATCAATAAGGAATAAAACTATCCAACCTTATGGAAAGAGTTGGTTATGAAAGAAAAAGTATTCATGCAATCCTAGATAGACTCGTAAGATTATTATTCATGCATGATAGTGTTTCCTTTATTAATTTCTTCAATACCAAGTTAAGATCACGAAACAAATTTAGGGGCATGTTTGGATCACAGTGCATCAAAAAATTCATTTATGCCAATTACAAACTAATAGCATAGATCATCAAAAGTCAATTGATCACACAGGAGTGATAAGTTCATCCATTTTGAAGATAACATACTATCAAAATTACCCTTTTTTAAAGAATTTGAGAGATATATATAGTCCACATAACAAAAAAAATTGGATAGATATAGAGATATAAATCAACTGAAGTGAATCTAATTATAATTAATTAGTTGTTAATTTTAATTAGAAGTAATTAGCATAAATAAGTCTTTTTTTTCTTTTTTCTTAGTTAAAACCCACTTAGGGGCCTACGTGTTAATATCAAAAAAGGTGTTACAAGGTCCTTAGAAGGAACCTCCAGCTCACTAATACTCATAAGAGCTACAAGAGAAAGCAAAATAAATCCTAAAAGATGGTATAGTTCCTTATATAATGAATTTCAAAAGAGCCTAAGTACATTCTAGGGCTGCAAGTAGACAGCACCCAAAAAAGGAAGAT